TGAAAGTCGTGTCTGGGTCCTGTGTGTTGTGTCCCCAGGTCTCCTGCTGCACAGGCACATTACAGCAGCCTCTCAGGGAAGGGTGTTGCTGTTAAGTGAGCAATGACAAATAGCCCTCCCTCTGCTCCTACAAATCCCTCAGTGGACATCACAGGCAAGCTGAGTGAACACCCAGAGCTGTAACACATCAACAGTCACTCCAGGTTGCACACTATGACTGTGACCTTCCATGCAAGCACTAAGCACTACCTGTCCATCACCACAGCCCAGATCTGACCCCAGTCTGCCCTGCCAGGTGCAGGATCAGGCTCAGTGTCCCAAAGTCCAGAGTAAACTCAGGTCTGTGTTGGATTTCAGAGGCACCTCCCAGCCCATCCGCTAACATGAGATGACAAATCCCCAGTTTGGGTAAAGACTCATCCCACTGCTCCCTCTGCTTCCTCCAGCCTTACCTGTGGGGATCGTGTACTTCCACACCAAATTTCTTGTTACGGAAATAGATATGTTCCAGCTGTTTCCATTGAAAAAGCTAGGAGAATTGGAAGAGAGATGCAGAATGCTGTCACTACAAGAATCACCAATCTTCTCCCCACAAGAATATGCAATTTCAGCCATTACAATTCCCACACATCTTCATCTATGGCATGGACTCGGCAACAACAACATGCCAAACATCCATTAAAATAAGCACATATACATAAATATATAGGATGTCCCTTCAGTAATTTCACACTTTTACAGACAATGCACTGCAGACTGAGTATTTTGCCCATGACATCTGCTTCCATCAATAGCACACTTAACTTCACTGCTACGAGCTCACAGAGATCTTGGGAGGACACCGAAAGTCCTTTTCTCTCCAACCGAATGCAAAAATCTCTGTGCAAAGTAATTGCATACACACCTATCTCTCCCCTCAGTCACAACATCCCCAGGGAACAGCAACAACTCAGGGATAACCAAAACCTTTCTCTTGTGAAGACACTGGGTGAGAAATTTAGCGTGACACTTTGGAGTAGGGGTACAACACGTGCAGAGACAGAGCAGCTACAGGAGGCAGCCACCCCCAACACGTACTTCTGTCAGGAAACCACAGATTTCCTGCAAAGTGCCAGCTGGGAGAAGAGCTCAAAGTCAACCAGGACTTGGCAGCTGCACCTGTGGGATCAGGATTGCATAGGAATCTGCTCCCTCTGTGCACCAGCATTAGCCACCCTCTGGGGATGATCCATCAGGGGCTGCACATTCCCAGCATGGCTTTGGCGGAGCTGCTCCCGGCCCCTTGGCGCAGGTTGCTGCAGCAGCAGCAGCATCTTCTATCCCCTTTCCAGCAGTAACAGGGTACATGGGTGCACACTGAGACCTGTCCGGGTGTCCCCAGGGATGTCACCTGAAGATGACAGGGTGCACAAGTGCAGCAGCACACGCTGCAGTTCACAGCTGGCTGCTCTCCAGAGCTGCAGCCCACACGTTGGTACCTGAGGTACTTCCACCCAGGCTGGGCAGGCAGGGCCAGCGTGAAGTGGGAGAGCTCGGCTTGCAACATCACTGATGCATCAAGGCACCCGGGCCATCACAGCAACAGCCTTCAGGGGTGCAGCCACCACACCACAAATCCCAGGACACACGACATTCCCTCCACCAAAATCAAACATGTCCTGCTCTGATTACGGAAGAGCTTCAAGTTGTGTAAAACATTACCTATGAAAGTGTGCTGCATATGAAATAATTAATACAGGTTGTAAATTAAACATAACCCAGTGTGTGTTTGCGGGAAAGCCTGGCTCTTCCAGTGACCTTTTCCCTGTGTTTAGTTAAAGCTTTCCTTTTTAGTACTACCATTTATCTTTAGATCCTGCTAAATGAGAAATGCAGCAATGGGAAATGACATTTACTCCAACTAATAAGTCATCTTCTAGAAGATCATGGACTCTGCTGCTTAAGTACGTTTACTTTTGTATCGAAGGCACCCTGCCCAGTCACACTGCTTTCAGAAGCAGAACTCTTTGCAATTTGGCATTAAACTTTTCAATAAATACTTTAAATAAAAAATAAAAACTTCAACTATTTTTTTTAAATAAATCACAAAGCAAGCAGCTCACTGTCCGTCAGGACACTGAGCAATAATAGCACCCATGGGTGCTCCAGCACACAGGGACCCCCGACACGACCCCACCAGCTCATCCTCCCCGCACTCACCTCCCCACATCACCAGCCCCTTCGGGAAGCATCAAGGCCGACATGAGCAGAGCAGAGCAGTGCAGGAGGCGGCTGCCGAGCCATCCCTCCCGGCCGGCGGACACGGCCGTGCCGGTGCCGCTCCGGCTTCACCTCCCACTGCTGACACACGCCTGACATCACCGCCTCTCCCGGCAGCGGCGCCTCCCGACCCGCCCTTTCCCCGGGATAAAGGGAAAACCCAACGGAGGGGAGAACACGGGGGCTGTACCGAGGGGCTGCGCCCCTTCAGCACACCTTGAGGACTTGCGGGGTGCTGAGGTGGGAGCCGGCATGGCGAGGGGGCTGCAGAGGGTGGTTAGCCCCCGAGTCCTCACCCTGCCTGCGTTGACTCATGCCGAGAGGCAACAGGTTCGACCAGAAGCATCGTGCGTGTTCCCGCTCCCACGCTCGTAAAAGCGATGGGCGTGCTTCAAACATGACCTCTGGAAAAGGAACTGCCTCGCTGCCTCTTATCGGGTTGTGGGTGATGACTCCCCCCCATCCCCTGTATCACTTCCTCTGGGTTTTTCCCCTCCGGACGCGCTTGGCATTCCCGAGGGCCTCGGGAGAAGGGGTCACCTGTCTTAAGGGCAGTGGGGTGAAGAGGGTCACATCTGGCATGGAATAAAACACTGCTTCCCCCCACCTTAAGCAGCCTTCTGCCCAGTCTGAGGGATACACCAGCACTCCTGCCATGAGGAGCTGCCTGTGCAAACCAAACACCAGCCCCCGGTGAGACGCATCCCTGATCATCCCTGGTGCTGAGAAGGTAAAACTAATCCCTTTGCATTTGTAAGAAAAACCTGCATGGAATTGCCTCAGGATGTGGGTAGAGCTTTGCCCCATTTCCTCCCCACCCTGTGAGATCCATCCCAGGCCAAGAAGGAGCTGACAGGCGCCCCAAGCATTTGCAACCAGGTACGTTCAACACAAAGACATGTAGGACAGCGATAACTCCAGCTCCACACGCCCCCCCCCAACCCCCCCCGCTGCTCTGAGGCAGGAGGGATGGGGAAGTGGTGGTTGAAATTCTACACAGAGGGCACATTCTGTTCTTATGGACTTAAAAGTGCCCCATCCTTAAGCTATCCCACTTCAGAACAATTCCTTAGCAATCATCTCCTCTAACAAACCCTCCTGCAGTCGGGTCCTTAAAACAAAAGGCCAATGGACTAGTAATATTTATGTAACTGCACTTCAAAATAATGATGAATTAATGTATTAATGAGTTTCGATCTAACGTGTCTGTGGATTCATGGAGACAAAAGGAAAAGAAGGCCTCAATACAAACACGGGCAAAAGAAAGAGAGTAATAAAGAATAAAGCAGAATAAGCCAAATGAAATTCTATAAACTCCCTCCAATAAAATTCTCCTAAATTGCGGTCAAAAGGCAATCCTCATACTGTCACTGCACTAGTTTTCCTCCTCCCTTCAAATACTCCTTAAGACATATTTCTAAATCATTCCTAATTTCAATCTTATCTAAACTACATGCATATTAAAAAGACAATAGAGTTGTAAAAAAAGTCTGAAGCTGTTTTTTGAGGCTGGAAGAACAATTAGGAATAATTGCAATGTTTTTGTGGAAGTTTGGCAATGTACATACTCTTTAACCAGATGATTAGGTCCACCCGAGCTAATGAATGTTTTCTTAATAGCCTTCCCATCCATTTAGATTGCCGGATCTTTAAAGGCTCCTGAAGACTCCTAGTGAGCATAGCTAGGGCTGCATGTCCGACTGACTACAGGCAGAGTTTGGCCTCGCCAAGGTTTGATTTCTGTGTCATTCTGGACAAGGCAGAGGAGGTACAAAACTCTCATCGCACCTCATGGAGTTTTAAGCTTCTTCTATTTCAACTGTGATCCTCCCCAAGATACTACAGAACGCTGAGAAAAAAGGTATCGCCCTCCAAACCCTCTTTCCCATACAAAAAGAGCCGTAATTGCAGTCTAACAAGACGCAAACCAGACACAGACAGCTTAAGCAGTGAGACACCTTAATAAAAGAAGCAGCTGGGTTTTTACCTGGCTGATCTCACATCCAGTTTTGAATAAAAGGCAAGTTTGTCTGGGCCTGACAGCAGGAAAACGGCCCCATCAGTACTGAAGGCAGGAGCTGGCAGAGCCCCTCCCTTGAGAGGCATGTAAGAGGGCTGCTCAGGGGCCCTCTGCTTAATATTCCTATCAGCATGGTGCATCATGTTTGAAAAACATGTATTTTCTTTTCAAATGGGTAAAAATCCCCTTTAAAATCCCCTTAAAAGCTGGCTGCAGGGGCTGTGTGTCCAAGCACTGCTGTAGTACTAGCCTCGGGCACCACACGTGCCAGGGTTGTACCTAGGATGTTTCCAAGGTTGATGGCAAACTCTGACCCAAGAGCTAAATTACCCAGATCTCTGCATTTCCACCCACTGGGTAAGACTGGGGTGGAAGCACAAACCATGCTGCAGCATTCACAGCCTTTCCCTCGGGAAGCAAATTCAAAGCACCTCGTGGTACGTGCGGTGCCTGTAAGGAGGTTTGCCAACCAGCACTCCAGGAGCAGGCTGGGAACAGCAATCTCCAGACAAATCTGGCAATTCAGACCAAGGAAACATAAAAGATTCCTGCCCACAGGAATGCACCCCACCCCGATGAAGGAAATTACCACCCTGGCGGCAACACTGGCAGAAGGGCTGTGTTTCAGCCCCTCCGTCTGCAGTCTGGCATACTACCTTCAACTGAAATACTATTCTATTATTAGCATTATTAGTATTAATTTTTATTATTTTTCTTGGGCTTTTTAACTGCTATGCCTGCCCATGGAGGGAAGCACTGGAGATGGCAGAAGAGCCAAACTGCCCCACCTGCAGCAACTTCTAAGAGAAAGAGGCAGACAGCTCCCACCTGTGCCAGCATAAATTGGCAGAGCTTACCCAGAGGCATCCTTCATCTCTTGCATATTAAGACAGTCCTCTAAAGAAAACTCTTCAATCACATTTTTTCCTAATTGATTATGCCTGATTCTCACTAGCATTGGCATTAATGAGAGAGACCTTTCAGCACCAAACTGCCTCAAAACATGCATGTTTTGGGGCAGGTGACACTCAACTTTCCACATATCTGGAAGGAACTGAATTTTAGAGCAGTCTTGTAACAGCTCCGTGTTTATTTTAAGTAATTATGCAAGCTTAGTATCTTACATCTAAATCAATGCCTTCCACTTGGTGAGAAATAAACACTGTAAAAGAAATCTCTGCCTAATGAGATCCACCTGCTGAGAAGCCTATACAAATACTGTTGTGTTCTGAACCATTCAGCAAAGCAGGACAGCAAATTTACATTAAGCAAAGATTCTTCAAGGGAAAACTTTCAGCATCAGTTCTTAGTATACGTAGAATTCAAAGGAAAATGTCATAATACCTCCTGCAAGCTTAGGAGTGTTGTATCCCAACAAAGAGGAAGTCAAGCAAAAATACCAGGAGGTTTGTGTGGATGAACAAGGAGGGCCTGGACAAACTCAAACACAAAAAGGAAGCCTACCAAGGGTGGAAACATGAATGTATTGCCTGGGAAGAGTACACAGAAATTGTCTGAGCAGCCAGGGATCAGGTTAGGAAAGCTAAAGCCCTGATGGAATTAAATCTGGCCGAGGACATCAAGGGCAACAGGAAAAGCTGCTATATGTACCTTGCTGATAAAAGGAAGACTAGAGAAAATGTAGGCTATCTCCACAAGGAAATGGGAGACCTGTTTACCTGGGGTATGGAACCTGAAGATGTATGGGATGAGATGCACCCACAGTTCCAAGGAACTAGTGGAAGAAGTGGATAAGCCACATATCCATCATATTTGAGAAGTCACGGCAGTCCAGTGAAGTTCCCACTGACAGGAAAAGGGGAAACACAACCCTCATTTTTAAAAAGGGAAAATAAATGAGACTCAGCAAACTACAGACCAGTCAGTCCCACATTGCTGCCTGGCAAGAGCATGGAGAAGATTCTCCCTGAAACTATACTAAGGTACACTGAAAACAAGGTGACTGATGACAGCCAACAGGGCTTCACTAAGGGCAAACTGTGCCTGACAAATATAGTGGCCTTTTACAACGGGGTTACAGTGTTGGTGGGTAAGGGAAAAGCATCTGATGCCATCTGCCTGGACTAATGCAAAGCATAAGACACTGTCCTGCATGACATCCTTGTCTCTGTACTGGAGAGACATCAATTTAATAGATGAGCCACTTGGTGGATAAGGAACAACCTGGATGGTTGCTCTCCTCAGAGCCCTCTTTTGTCCAGGAAGCACCTGGAGGTGTTCCTCTCCTATGAAGACAGACTGAAAGACCTGGTCTTGTTCAGCTTGTTCAGAGAAGGCTCTGGGGAGACCTTAGAGCAGCTTTGCAGTACCTAAAGTAGCCAGCAAGAAAGCTTTTACAAAGGCAGGTAGGAATAGGCAAGGAGGAATGACTTTAAACTGAAAGAGGTAGATTTAGATAAGATATTAAGAAGAAGCTCTTCCCCATGAGGGTAGTGGGACACTGGCACAGGGTGCCCAGAGAAGCTGTGGCTGCCCCATCCCTGGCAGTGCTCAGGGCCAGGTTGGACACAGGGGCTTGGAGCAACCTGCTCTAGCGGAAGGTGTCCCTGCCCATGGCAGGGGGATGGAAATAGATGACCTTTAAGGTCTGTTCCAACCCAAAACATTCTATGATAAATGTTACCCATTTCAAAACTAGTGTACTCTAACAAAAGCACTTCTGAGAACATAATGTATTCAAGACAACCAGCAGCAGAATTGAACTCTTTGTAAATCTGAAACAATACCATTGCAAGATAAGTCCTTCTCTTCAGATATTATAGCTCATTTATTACCAGGGAGTTGCCCACAGAAACACAATGAAGTGGGAGAACAAGTCCAAAAGCCAGCAAGCTGCCTTCTCAAATTCCCATCCCTCAGAGGATCACCACATGTTGGCTGGATGCAGAATAAACTCAATTCATTCCCTAATACACGCTCCATAAACAAAATGACGCATTGTTTATCGCAACCATGAGAAGGATAGGGACAGAGATACAAGGGAGATCCACTCTGTTTTGAAATGACAAATGAAGTCCTGGGACCTGTTTTATGCTTTTCCTAATTGATTCAGAGGAGACTGGGGACAGGACCTTGGCATACCAGCCCACAGCAAGCAGGAGGCATTTCTCCAAGCAGAAGGCATCTCATGGTGTTAACTGCACCTGAAGGGAGAATGTTTGCAAAGCAGCAGGACTGCAGGGTTAATCCCAGCTGAAATCTGAACATGGCTTGCCAAACCCAGTCTTTCTTATGCCCTATGAGGATTATAATCAGCTATGCTCAGTGTAACCTCCACCCAGTGCACAGTCACTGCTTTTATCTACATAGAAAAAGACAACTTCATAAATGACACAAAAAATAATTCTTCATTTTCAGTCTATTCCAGAGGTGGAGCACAATGCTTCCCTTGGTGCCTATCAGCTCAAAGTCTCAGGTGAGGAGTACACCAAAGGGCTTGCTTTGCTACAAACCACTTCCAAAGCAATACAAGCTTTCAGGAGTGACTTACTCCTCCAAACCATCTTGGGTCAACCAGCAAAATATTAATAGCCAGACTCAGACCTCCTCAGCCAGCTTTGCATGGACAGACAGCCATGGCAGGTTCTCCTGGTCCAGCCCCGAGTTAACACACTGTCCTCTCCAACAACGCACACTCCCCTCATGCATGACTGACAGTACACGTGCAAGCATTGGCAAGGCTGGGCGATACCGATCTGGAGATTGCTTCATCCAGGTCTGTCCTACAAGTTGTTTCCTGTGAAGAGTTCTCAGCCTTGGACTTCACACAACACTGTTGATCCAATAACAAAATCTTGGGATAACCACTGCGCTCCAAGGCTCATATTTAGGTCTCTTTGCCTAAAGACCTACTTGGATAAAGCGGAAAGATTTCACTTTTTGTGGAGGATGGTTTTATTTGTTGGGATTTAGCTGACACTGCATTAATGAATGCAGTTAATTTCTTATATATTTTTTATTATTATTATGTTTTAAACCTTATTCTGAATATGGACTTGGCTCTTACCAAATGCCTGTGATGAACACATTAAGCAAATGTAGCCATTAGCACTACAGAAAATAGACGAGGAGCAGAATAAACCCCCCTGGTGTGAACTCAGCTGAAGTACAGGCACCAATTCCTGTTCAAAGCCTCCCACCTGAACCTCAGCAGCTTTCACACTGCTGCCAGTATCAGAAAGGTTTGCACACACAGAGATCAGCTGTATCTTTAAAATTAGGAAAGACCAGCTTAGCCTCCCTTAGACTTGGACTCAGTCTTTCCCTTTCATTGTGTTAATCAGCTGCTTGTATATTTAAACATCACTAACTGAAAAAGTGCACAATAAGGATGCTCTTTCCCAGATGGCTAGGGATAAACATAACAGCACTTTTGATCCACAGTATAAACACCAAGATAACACCAGCACATGGCAGTTATGAGTTTGGCTTCATCCTGCAAAGCAAAGCAAGAAAATTCTGCTAAATCCAGCAGAAGTGGCATCTCTTCTCCAAGAGACAGGCATAGTTTACATGCCTACTCCTCTCTTGCCTGCTGCTTTGGAAAAGGACTGTGCTTGCTAAACTCCTCAAGAGATTCAGGCAAGCTATATAGACTCTCTTCTCTCTCTGAAATGTGTTCTGATACAAAACAACAATACGAGTTAAAGGAAACTTCTGTGTGCTGCATCAGTGAAATAAACAGCAGCATCCAACATTTTAACTCCAAAACCAGGTCTGGATGTGGGTGTCTCTCTACACCCAGCATCTGCTTTTCCTCTGAAGGTGATCTGATGCCCATTACTTCCACGAATCATGTCAGAAGTGCATTTTGTATTTCAAACCCTGAAACACATCTTTTGTGTAAAGAAACTGTATGTAATGTATGGCATATTTAGCCATACATTAAAAGTTGTCATGACTCAGGACAACCTGTGGGCTTAAGTAATTTCTGTCCCCTCCTGTTGACACCAGACATGAACCCATAAGGATACTACAGCCATATCCAGCCCCACTTTTTCAATCACCTTATTGGCATTATACCTTCCCTTTGCATTCAGGCTCCTCTCTTCCACCTTTCCTTTTAATCACTATTCCCTGTAGACAACTGTTATAATTTCCATTGTAACACTTCCACTGCAGAGGTGACCTTTGGCTTTTATTTTTTCTTAAACACAGCCCAATTCAAAGGCAACGCCTTGTCACTAACTGTACAGGGTGTGATTTGGCATCTGGGCCCTGCTGACCTCAAAAACTTCTCTTAATCTGCCTGGTTGATGTTGTAAACTCAAATCCCACAAGCACAAAAACTGTTCGGCGAAGCAATGCTTCTAGCCAGGCAGGCTGCACTTTCTTGGACAGCCCTGATGGTCACAGCTGGACAGCTTGGCTAGAGAACGGTATGTGTTTGACCTGACCAGAAAATCTTGTGGATGTTGCCTAAAAGCAGTGCTGAAGAGCAAGAACAGCTCCTTGATGCCTTCACTTGACAATCAATGGCTGCATTAACGTTGACTTGATTTTCTAGGGTTCCCCTTTTGTCATGTGGAACAGGCGTGGTAAAACAGGCTTGGGATGAAACTTTGTGCTTTACTAAACAAAGTAAGGACATACGAGTTCAACCTTGGACACATAGGTATATAAATACACCGTAAGAAACCAAGTCATAGCCTGCTCTGGAAAAAAAGACGACCAAGCTGGAAGCTTGAAGGGGAATTATTCTTGAGGAGGAAGTTTCTTTAAGCTGTGTTTTCTGGCACAAACACACTAAACAATATCATTTTGCAAATGTAAAATCCCCTGGCAGGAAGCACACACTTCATGTGAACTCCTGCCCAGATCATTCCTGGAGAAGAACAACAGCAAAACCCCAGGTCTTCATCTCCTCACACCTCAGATGTTTCAATGAAGACATGACCAGAAAGAAACAGCCCCGACCAACAGCGTGGCTCCCGCACGTGCAGTCCTGGTTCTTCCCCACAGCCAAGTGCGTTAGATAGCACTTCAAAGACTTTTAGGGCTCAGCTCTGTCACAGGGAGATGAATGCAGCTACGGGACTGGGCAAGCTCCCAACACATCGTGTGCTTGAGCTGCATGAGAGGTTTCCAAGGCTGGCAGCAGGAGCCTGCTAGGGCTTGCTGATGGGGGCTTTGAGGGAGCCAGCAGTGCAATACAGGACCCTCTGCCCTGTTTAAACAACAAAGCAGGCTGCTGGCAGAGCTCACTCTGAAGGAGAGCAAGGGGGTGGAAAAAGAGAAGAGCAACCTCCAGTATTTGGCGTTTATTCTAAATCCCCTTTACAATTCATTGCATCATGGAAACATACAGTTGCCTAAGCAGGCCTACAGTTTCCAGCAGTTCCCCTTGTATTTCCCAGATATCAGTGGAGCCTTTTATCACTTCACACACAAAAAACACCTATGAAAGCCAAGTGAAAACACTGCTTGAGTACAAGACCTTTAGGTTTGGATTTGCAGAAACCCAGTTGCTTCATACTTGGATAGTTATCCCTGCAGGCTGCCAAAATTCCTGTCCGGACTTTCTTGAGACAAACTCAAGACAACACATAAGCCAAAGCTCCCAAAGGGAGTTTTCACTATCTGTGTGAGGGGACTGCTACTGCCTCAGTGCCAGCAGAATTCTCCTTTAGCCTCCAAGCCTTGGTCATTTACTCTGACATGTAACACTATCCCACCTACCCCTCAAAAAATAAATCAGATGAAAAGAACTTACTTTTCTGGGTTGAACTTTGTCTTGTAAGTCGTATTGGCCTATTCCTTTGCAACTTAGTCCAAGCCACCACGGGATTCTTTGTTTATCCTGAAAAATGGACATCTACGTGAACCAAGAGCTACTTCAGAATTACACAATACGGGACTCACTCCAGCCCATTTCTTTCTGTGACAAGTACAAGTAGGTATGGAACACAGACTGTTTTGCAAACAAATTTACGTGGAGTGGGTTGCTGGAGTGAATGTGGAAACTTTCTCCCCCTGCCTTCTGAGGCAGAGGTAAGAAACTGGATTGTGGTTGTGCACAGTGGACAAAAGAAAAGCTACAGTGCTGCTGAAACATCGTGGTGTCACTCGTTGCAGGAGTGGCTGTGAGGGGGAAAGGATATGGGATAGAAAAAACTGTGGCCAACAACTGCATCCACTAAATTCAGGCACAGCCAGCCACAGGAGCAGAGAACAGCACAAAACATCAGCTTCTTGGGTACCCCAGTCATGGCCATGACTCAAAGAAAGGAGACATCATCTCTGCTGAGCTCTTCTGCACAAAGCACTTAGGCCCAGGCTCTGCTCTACAAATGGGAATAAACAGTGTGTTTCCATCAGCCTCCAAAAGTATTTCTCAGCATTTCTTCACTAGTTACCTGCCGTTACAAGTAGTCTTTTCTACACTGTATTTTTTTCCTAATCTTGATTAGAAATGTCTCTGGGGAAACTATTAACTGCTTTGGATCTAGACGTGTTACCCAGTTTAATTAAGATAAGAATTTAGCTCCTGATAGGATTAGAAAAAGTTTTACAAAGATTCCTTTCCATTTTCTGTAGCACATAATACTGCTCTCTGGAAACAATTCTTAAAGAATAATGAAGGGGGAAAATTACAGAGGTTGAAAAATGCAGGGTTTAATACTGACAGAAGGGTACTGAATCATCAAATTATTCCTACAGGAATGTAATCACAGGCAATAAGCTGAGCAATCACACTATCTATGGGCATTTACTAACCTTTACTCCATAGTAATGAACTCCATATGTTGGCAAAGCTTCCACAACTTTCATGTACCTGTAGACAGATTTATAGCATATCAGATCATTTTCTCTGGAGGGAACAACATCTATTAACATATTTTTTTCACACATACATTCAGGACATGTCATTTACCATTTATCATATTTTGAAGATCTTAATAATTGAAGGCCCATGTTTTCAGAGAAAAACTTAGCATCCTGGCTCGAGGAAAGATGTGATATTTTGGCACAGCTAAAGCAAATGGAAAATCTCTCATACTACAAAATATTCAATCTCCTATCAGAAGGTCAAAAACAAAGTAAAGACTCTGAATTGAACAGAAGAGCCTTTTGGGAAATATTGATAGTAAAGACCTGCTCATAATTATTCCATTATGGTGCTCTGGTTGCAATGGACAGCCTCCAAATGAAAGTGTTTACGCAGTTGTACCACTGTTTCTTGAGGCAATTCAGGCAACTTTTTCCCTTGTTCCTCTTGAAAGAAGCCCCTGAACTACTGAAGCAGTTACAGGCATCGAGGTACATGAGGAAAACAAGTTGCCTACATTGTACAACCGTGGCTATCACCTCAAACACAGCACACTGCATTTGCCTGTAGGAAGTACAGTAATATTAACAGTGAATTAAAAATAAAGTTGCACAGGCTCTGTATGCATCTTGGGAGACCTTGTTCTTCTGAGAGCCAAATTCTGAACATGTCAACAAACATGCATCTGTTTTTTTACTAGGGCTAAGGTAATACCTGCCCTTAAGAGTTTGGTGTGAAAACTAATTGATAGCAAGCAGGGTATAGCAAAGAGCCTTCCAACAAAGTAAGGTCCAGATAACTGCTTTTATGTTTGAGGTATCTGAAAATGTAAACAGACAACCTTCACTGCCAGCCTGTGAAAATGAAACTTCAAATAACTTCACTTTGCAATATAACTCAATAAGAAACAAACCCCACAGATGCAAAATGGTAAAGCTCGCATGCAGTAATAACCAGAACATGCTGCGCTGGCATTACTCAACAAAAAAGAAATAAAGGGAAGTAAAAATATCATCTTGACAAGTTAACAAGTGTCATACTCACTGAACAATGGCTTGTCCTCTGGTCAGACCTTTAATTTGTCTGTAATGCTCGATTACTCTGTCCTCACTGCAAACCAAGCACAAAACCCAATTTAGAGGCTCAGTGACTTTTCTCATGTGTGGCGGCATCTGTGGCAGCTCAGGCGCCTGCTCAGCATGCAGAGGAGTGCCCCTCTGCACATTTCACACTCTGCTTTACATTCTGCTTCTTACTGATGTCTTTCCCACCCTTCATTAGGCAGCGTGGAAGCCGCCTGGATGATCCCCACCATCCCATGCCATGCTCCAGACTAATTAACAAATCGTTTCAGATCAGCCTGTGCTGCTGCAGATGCTGCTGCAGAATAATGGTACTAATTGTATAAATCTATTTTCACGTTCTAACAGACCAAAGCTTCAAAGGATGGTTAATGCTACCCATGTAAGACAAAAGAAGTTAAACCAGGAATGTTTTCAGTCCTGTGTATTTTCTCCTTTGACACTTTATAGGTGGGAAAAAATACAGACTTGTCAGCAATGACCTTCTTGCATTTTTCCCTCATATACTTCAACATTTTGTTTTAGCGGAAGGTGAAATAAAATATGCATTTAAGTGTCAGACACTTGAAAACAAAGAAAAACCCAGCAGGATTCATTCTATTTATTCTGAAAATCATAAGCAGGTACTGGTACACTGGAAAAATCCATCAGGTACACATCAAACCTAAAGAAAATGAAACAAATGAGGGAGTCAAACTTGCACAGAGGGCATCGACTCCAAGGAAGCAATATTGTTGATCCATCCCAAATGCTCTGTTCCTTTACAGAAGGTTTAAGCCACAAAACTGGACCTTTCTTTTTTCAGCTTTTCCAGCTTATTTTCTCCCCACTGTCCTGTTGGGAAGGGCAGCTGGGTGGGCATGTGGCAGCCAGCCAAGGTCAACCCACCACAGAGGCTCCTCTGTGTGATGGGTGAAGAGCAAGGGGCTCTTTGCAAACCCAGGCTTGGCTGGAGTTCAGATTTCAGCTCTTTCTAATGCATGGTCCCCACCTATTCTGATCAGTCAGTTTCTGATCCAGCTATTTAATCTGAGCGAACTTTCAATGAGGGATTTGCATCAGATCTTGCATAATTTATGACCTAGAAACTGGAAATGCTTGAACATAACTCCAACTCCTATATTATACAGGCTGAAAACTTAAAAGAGTTGGCAAATTGTTTACAAGTGATCTTGTCATTACCACTCATAGCAATGACTGACATTTTAAATTCAGTAGCTCACC